ATTATTATATTTCAAATTTTGACTGAAGTTCATAATTATATTTAATTATATTTAACACTATTATAAAAAAAAAATGAAAAATGAAATTGAAAATTATTAATTATTATAACAAAATATATCACCAATATAAGTAATAACTGCATCTTTCATAGCAACGAAGTCGGAGGATATCCGTCTTCTCTACTATGAAATGCTCAAACGAAATCATTTTAATAATAATTATTTATAAGTATTTATAATTTATCATTATTCATATAGATAAATATAGATAAATTGCATATTTTATCTTTGCAAATATTTATATTGAAGATATTTTGATTTTATAAGTAATTACTACAAATTTATTTGTTAAACTCGCGATGTACAAGAAGCCCTATCCTGATCTAATACATAAAAAACCTGAAAAAAATGTTACTACTCACAAGTATAAAAAATACTCGCGGTCACTATGCTCATAAAAAATTCTACGTATACAACCAGTCACCCGTGCCGATTCGGACCTTTCATCCTACGACATGATTGGGTGACCGGAGGAACATAAATGCATGCGACTCACAGGATAGATGTGAAGAACGTTATCATAGATGCTGTACTGGAGCAGGGAAAGTTATTGTGAAGACCAAAATACCACTGAGAATCCCATGGCAGAAGTGAACACCGCAAAAAATTTCTTAAAAAACATAAAATATTTCGTTTCTAAATACACAGTGTTACTTGTGAAAATTTAAATTTTAATAATGATAAAAATTGGGACTAATAATTTGAAATGTTTTTATTTTACAATTATAATTTTACATTCGATTTCAATAGAAACCATAGAGAATAGAATTCAAGATAAATATATAATAAGCTAAAATACTTACATTTTTAGTTTTTAGAGCATCATAAGATCCTTAAAAGATTAGGGGAAGTATAGAGAGTAGAAAATCTGTAGCAAAATATCAAACATTAGAATTTATGTTTAAAAGCAAAGCAGAATCTTAAGCTGGAAATAATGAACGATTCTTACATTTTTGGTTTTAGAGCCACCGTTGGATTTTCCCCAAAAAGTGCAAAAAAATTGATGCTGCGATGTGTCTGTAACAAACATCAAACATACTTTTTTGTTAAATTTGAAAAATTGAATAAATTGAGATGCAATATCTAAAACTACTTACGATTTTGGTCCCCTGAAGAGAGCTTATCTTCTTGAGCACTCAAGCACTGATTCTAATATACCGAAAACGAGTATTGAACAAGAAAAAGTATAAAAAAGAAAACTAAAAGACTATCAACGCGCGCGTTTAAGTAACAATCGGCGAACTCACTGACTCTAATTTCACGAATTAAATTTAAATGAATTAATAATTTTATTTAATAAGAGCCATTTCACTCAGACAAGTATTAAAATATTACGCAACAAACACTGGCTCTACCGATCGCATTGCGCGCGGTCACAAAAACTTTCTGAAAATAAAGCTAATTAGTAAGGAGAGGGCGAAGAATACGTTCATTTAGAAAATACTGCTATTTTTCTAGAACATGATTATAAGGAAACTTGAATATGTATTGCATGTTAGCGTCCGGAAAGAGTAAGTATATTGTAGCAAGTACGAAAATTTTGAATTTAATAATCTAATATATATCCATTTAAAATTATATACTATTGAAATACTACGATCTCTATATTTGAAATAAAACATTAATTAATTTAATCTTTTCTATTTTCATTCTTGTATCTCAAATAATCACGAAAATACTAATTGTATTCTGAATTGTATATCAAATATATATGTATATATATATATATATATATATTGTATACTGTTTCCCAGAATGAATAAAATGTTGCCAACTTTTCATAAAAGTTTATCAGATTGTACATTAATGATCGTGGTGTGCATGCACTCTATGCTATCTTAGTAATCAGGGAATAACCTGCACAGAAAAAAAACCAAAAGTCAGAACAAATATAAGGCAAATGTATAAAAATGAAACGATAATCAACTTCAAATTCTATTAAAAAAGCGTACGAAACAAGCTATCGGTAACTGTACGAGTGAAATCGACGATTGAAGAAAAATTGGTGCAAAAAGTTTCAAAACACTACAAAATTTCGTTGTCTTAATGTCAATTAATCATTCAACACACGCGTAATACTAATTAATGAAGTATAAATAGAAGTAAAAAAGTGTTGAAGAAGTGACGCCACCAAAGGGACGCCGCTAATAGGTTAGAAAAAGTTACAAACCTAATGCGACATAAACGTGTTGTTATGAAAGTCCACATCCGAATGACTTTCCGCTATACGTCTTGTCCTTCAATTGAAAAAATAGTACAGGGTGGGATGATCTTTTCCACACAGGCATGATAAGTAAGATGAACATAAACATTGCATTCCTGTTGTTGTTTTGAATTTCGAGCTTCAAGGCCTTCTACACTTTAGTTGAGAAATGAAAAATTGTATTTACTAAGCAGCAAAATTATTATTTTAACTACGTACATTCTTAATAGATTATTGTTGAATTTCGTATTAGAATTATTAAGAATTACGCAATATGAAGTTAAAGAATCAACAAATAAGTAGAAAATATTATAATAGAAGTGTGTCTCTAAAAGCATGTAATAAAATACGTGTGTATATATGACAATGAATTAGTCAATTAGAAGATTACAATACTTGTACTGGTTAGAATTGGAATTAAAGTTTGGTATAAAATTATAAATAACTTTTAGTATAGTATGTTCTATTTAAATGTTTGTATGCCATTATTTCTTTAATTGTTGAAAATTGTGTAATCATTATTTGGTTAAATCTTACCTTGAGTTAAAACCAAAAATGCACGTTTTATCTTAAAAGTACACAAACACAAATCTAACAACTATTGATTTATATTTTTACCTGAGAACTTTTGGATAATACGTCTTTTTGGATAATTCTTCTGAATAATTCTTTCTCCTTTGCAGCGAGGTGTGTTACCTTCCGCCATTGTTCCCGCTTTAAAATCGATCGTGGGAAATATCGATATGTTCGAGAATCGTAGGAAGTGTATTCCGTATATCGCCGTTGAGGCGCTGTAATCAGTAAGCATTTCAGACGAAATGATAACTTGGAATAAAAAATAAAAAGACTCTGATTTGAATCAAATACACAAAATTCATGAGAAGTGTTTAAGAAGGAATGAAAATATTCATACACTTGATGAAAAATTGTCAATATTTTAAACTGAGACATGAGACATTTTATTATATTACGCAGTAGAATTATTATTCTAACTATTAAATACGTACATTCTTAATAAACTATTGTTGAATTTAACATTAAAATTGTTAAGAACTATGCTGTATAAAGTTAAGGAATCAACAAATAAGTAGGAAATATTATAATAAAATACACACACACACACATATATATAACAACGAATTAGTCAATTACAAGGTTACAATACTTGTACTGGTTAGAATTGGAATTAAAGTTTGGTATAAAATTATACATAACTTTTAGTATAGTATGTTCTACTTAAATGTTTGTATGCCATTATTTCTTCAATTGTTGAAAATTGTGTAATCATTATTTGGTTAAATCTTACCTTGAGTTAAAACCAAAAATGCACGTTTTATCTTAAAAGTACACAAACACAAATCTAACAACTATTGATTTATATTTTTACCTGAGAATTTTTGGATAATACGTCTTTTTGGATAATTCTTCTGAATAATTCTTTCTCCTTTGCAGCGAGGTGTGCTACCTTCCGCCATTGTTCCCGCTTTAAAATCGATTGAGAAATATCGATATGTTCAAGAATCGTAGGAAGCGTATTTCACCGTTGGCGTTGTAAATTTTATTTAACATTATATACCTGTTACACTGTCTAGTTTCGAACAAGATAATGCAATATATTCCTAATAAATAAATACAAAAACTATATTCTCAATAAATAAATTTTGGAATAAATTTCGGAATGAATACAAAAGAATTGCTTCCTCAAGTTCTTATTTATTTAAGAACAAGTCTCTAGTTTTATTTTTGCAACTTTGATCTAAAAGAAATAAGAGCTTTTTAAATTTAATTTATTTAATTTGGTAATGCGTAATGCAAATAATATATATACGATCGCACATGTAGTTTTTAACAAGTATGTATATTGAACGTAATTTCTGTGTTTTTCATAATATATTACAGAGGGCGCAAGATGCGCATTTCAAAACGTTAAGTATAAAGTTCTAGATGATGTCAGGTCTATTTTGTTCTAGTCAATGATCAATCAAATTTAATTACAGTATATATAATATAATAAACTAAATAATAAATTAAGTACAATAAAGAATTATGTGTTGGCATTCATGTATTTCTAACCTAAATGCTTAAACTAATTTAAATATATTAAGTTGTAAAATAGTTTATAGTACATATGAAATTTAAATATCACAATTAATCAAAGTAATAATCGAAAGTCTTATCAGATATTTTCAACATTCATTTTTAATGTTTTACAAAAAAATTTGAAAAAATACCTTGCTTTTATTTTATTGTATTATATTCTACTCAAAATAAGAATTAAAATATATAATTATAATCGTGTTATATTTCCATGTATTTTATTTTTTTATTATATTTCTTAACCTATTTAATTGTTATTATTTTTATTTTTAACAAAAATATTTATTGAACAAAAATGATTTAAATGATTTTATACTACTTTATATTATTATATTATTAAAATTTTTCTAATTGTAAATATAAATTTTTATGTCATAACTTCAAAATTCAATATTGCCAATATTGTCAAGCAATTGAAATATAAACAATTATTAGAAAGAATCAATTTGAATAAAATTTAATCTTCATTTTAAATAAAAATTTATTTACACGTTCAATATTTGTTTGTGAAAATGATTTTATTTTCATGTAATTATTTTCCAAAAAAAAGAAAGAAAATTCTAGTTATCCACAGCATCTTCAATTATAAGAAAATTGTGAAGTTGGCATCAAGCATCTAGGAATATTTCGATCAGTTATTTTGGTAATACCAATTGACGATCAACTCATGAGTGTGCGTTGTAGCTTCATTCGTTCGGCGACAATGGCGGCAGATCTTGGTCAGTTTCAACAGCTTTTAAACACACTCCTTAGCACGGATAATGATGCCAGGACACAAGCAGAGGTACGTATACCTCTTCTAATTTTCACGCACGTATTTTGTACGTATTAATTTGCCAACAAATCTGAATATTGTAAAACGAGATACTCTGTTTCCCGAGCACGTTGCCAACGTGTTGTCAGAATCTGCATGTGGGTACCGTTTGACGGTCATTGTTATTATATCACAGTTTCACTTTCTGTCTTATGGAATATTTCTATGTAGCATTAATGCATATAAGCAGTTTCATGATCAATGCGATTAATAACTGTAATGAATACTGACAAGTGTTTAGAACAACCTAATAAAATCCAAAATGGTGTCGCGCGGTAGCATGCACCTCTCCAACCTTTTACATAGGTCCATGTCACTTTCAGCGCGAGACAATGTACATATTGTTCAAATTTTTTTATAATTTTTTTATATTGCTTACATGATTTTATTATGGTACTAAAGAATAAAACAGTCTAGTTTGCGTTAAGTAACCAGAAATATATAACTACTTAGCATGATTTATAATTTCTATATTTTGCTTTCCCGCCTACACGTTTTCGATTGGGTTTTAGGCATTTCTGTCTGAATCACGAAGAAAATATCCTTGTGCATTTATAATTATATTATTATAATTATTAATAGTAAATATTTTTAACTTTCTTATTTTTGCAATATTTGAATAACATTATACTAATAAAACATGTCATTGTCAGATACCATGTGCTTCTTTCTTTTCTACTAATCTTTTCTCTCTTGGTAACTGTTAAAGCACTAATTACAAACTCATTCAAGTAAAATAATGTTTTCTTATTACAAAATTGAATTATGAACGCGGCAATAATTATTACACATATCAATTTTATTAACGTGATAAGATACTTTTTTCTATTTGAAACAGAAAAAAATTTATTTGTGATAAATTAGATTACATAATATATGTGTATGTATCTACATGTATATATATATTTAATATTATAGGAGGCATACAACAATCTCCCAGTGGATAGCAAGGTGACATTTCTTTTAACATCCTTGTGCAATGCAGCTCTTACAGAAGAAATGCGTGCTATGTCTGCTGTCTTGTTACGTCGTCTCTTTTCTTCCGAGTTTATGGATTTCTACCCTAAAGTAATTATATCTTAATTATATTGATTTTAAATCACTTTGCAATTGTAACAATAGAAGGCTTTAAAACATTTGCATTTAAGACAAGATTGTTTATAATGAATACAATTTTTTTGTATTTTTATATAAATATAAAAGATATTGTTCTGTTCTTAATGCTAATATATATAGCAAATTACAGTAACTAAGACTAAAATAATTTCTAATCATATAATACTTTCTGCACTTTATGCCAACAACTACTGCCAATAATGAAGTGACCTATCGTATGTGACGAAATATAAACCCACATTACTTATTAAATTGATATTTACATGATATATAAATATGATATAGTATCTAACAAATATTGAACAAAATGTATTAATAAATTTTAGTAAAATTTTTGAAATATTAATTAAATGTATTTGTATGCAAAATTTAAAATGTATGATTCAAATAGAATAATATTATTTTTAAATATTTAAAAATCAGTCTCTAATTTTTATAAATGGAAATATTAAATTTCTATTTGAATCTTTCAGATTTTACCTATATTTGTTTTAAAAAAATATTCTTTCAACTTTTATTTAAATTGCAGCTAGTTTCATTGAAGAATCGAAGTATACGTTATATTTTATGCAAATGAAAAATATATGTATGTTTTTTTTTTTTCATAAATCATTCTTTGGCAAAAATCAAAGTTAAAACATCAAATAAAAAATGATATGTAATTAATTAATCATTACTATTATTAAAATATTATGTATTATTATAATACTACAATTACTACAATAAATATCAAAAATATTTCAATGAAAAATTATACAAAATTATACACATGCTTTCTATAATGTATGATATGCATGTAAAATTTTTGTATACGTCTAAAAATATTGTTATACGAGTACATTTTTATGTAGATTCCACCAGAAGCACAAGCTCAATTAAAAGAACAAATTTTACTATCTGTTCAAAATGAACAGACAGAGACTATTCGACGTAAAGTTTGTGAAGTTGCAGCTGAAGTTGCACGAAATTTAATTGATGAAGATGGTAATAATCAGTGGCCAGAATTTCTGCAGTTCCTATTTCAGTGTGCAAATAGTCCTGTACCGGCATTGAAAGAAAATGCTCTTCGAATGTTCACGTAAGTTTACCATGTTTCTGTTAAAAATAATATAATTTTAAATTATAATGTATACAATATAAATCATGCGTTTACATATTTCAAATGTATAGATCCGTCCCAGGTGTATTTGGAAATCAGCAACAAAATTATCTTGATCTTATTAAACAAATGTTACAACAGTCTGTTATGGATTCTGCAAATTATGAGGTAATGTTATACATTTTTGTATGTGGATGTAAATTTATTTCATATTTTTACATCTCACATGGAAGAATGATACACGTGATGCAAATAGTTAAGCTTCTCGTCACAATTTCTTCCTATAAAAAATTGCCTTCAGATGACTGTAACTTGTGAAGTTTTAATTTACAGACAGATACGGGGCATACAAGCATTCATTCAAATTTTACTTATTTTTAGGTCAGATTTCAAGCAGTAAGAGCAATCGGAGCCTTTATCATTTTGCATGATAAGGAAGAAAATATACAAAAACATTTCTCGGAGCTACTACCAGCAATTATACAAGTAATTGCTCAATCAGTAGAAAAACAAGGAGATGATGCTCTTTTAAAAGTTTTAATCGATTTAGCAGAATCTACACCGAAATTTTTGAGATTACAATTAGAAACTATAATGGAAATGTGTATGAAAATATTTTCAAATGAAGATATGGCTGATTCGTGGAGACAATTAGCATTAGAAGTTCTAGTTACACTGGCAGAAACTGCTCCTGCAATGGTACGTAAAGTTGGTGGAAAGTATATTGCATCTCTAGTACCATTGGTGCTAAAAATGATGACAGATATAGAAGAGGATGAAAAATGGAGCTTTTCCGATGAAATTGTTGACGACGATAATGACAGTAATAATGTCGTTGCTGAAAGTGCTTTAGACAGATTAGCATGTGGTTTAGGTGGTAAAACTATGTTACCACAAATTGTACAGAATATTGCATCAATGTTAAATAACAGTGATTGGAAATACAGGTACATACTTTTAAAGTATTTTTATTTAACTTTACTGCACTTGTCACAGAAATGTCAGCAATTTTATTTTATATATATATATAATTGCGTTACATCTGTGATAGAGTAACCGTCGGGATTATTCTCTGTTTTATCTATCGTTCTGATAGTTAAAAATTTGAGATTCTCGAGGGATGTTCTTACACAAGAGAGTTGATAGTAATATTCCAATATTACTGTCATAGGCATAGAACAAACATTTATATTATAAATCTGTTAAGAGCAGTTAATAAAATTGTAGTAATTGTAGTAACGTTGCCAAAAATTTGTATTGTAGGCATGCTGCTCTCATGGCAATATCAGCTGTTGGTGAAGGTTGCCATAAACAAATGGAAGCGATATTACCTCAAATCATGGATGGAGTTATACAATTTTTACAAGATCCTGTAAGTTTAATTACAGTAATTTCTTTTTAAACATGAATCGAATTAACAATTATAGAATTATAAATATAATAGCGTTACATTTATGATACAATACAAAATTTAATATTTATACATTTTTCGTTCTAATAATATGTTTATTAAAATACCTTTTTCGAAATTCGTGAGAGAGAGGGGGGAAGGGCTATTGATTATTATAAATATGTATATATATTTTTTATTCATACATAATTTTAGAACACTCTTACCTCTTGCGTACAATTATTCTTTTTTGTTTATTAATTGTATATTTTTTTCAGCATCCTCGTGTAAGATACGCAGCTTGTAACGCAGTAGGTCAAATGTCAACTGATTTTGCACCCATATTTGAAAAAAAATTCCATGATAAAGTCATTCCTGGATTATTAATGGTTTTGGATGATAACGCAAATCCAAGAGTACAGGCTCATGCCGGTGCAGCTCTTGTAAACTTTAGTGAAGATTGTCCAAAAAATATATTAACACCATATTTAGATGCTATTATGGCTAAATTGGAGTCAATTCTTACTGCTAAATTTCAAGAACTGGTTGAAAAAGGCACCAAACTTGTCCTTGAACAAGTAAGCATATTAATTAACCAAATAGTACATATATAATATAATAATTATTTTATTTTGTAGGTAGTTACAACTATTGCATCTGTTGCTGATACATGTGAAGAACAGTTTGTAACATACTACGATAGGTTAATGCCATGTCTAAAATACATTATTCAAAATGCTAATCAACAAGAACATAAAATGTTACGTGGTAAAACCATTGAATGCGTAAGTCTTATAGGACTTGCAGTAGGACCTGAAAAGGTATGATTAACATATACTATTATATTTAATGAGAAATTAAAGTAATATTTTAATGCTTTTTAAATAAAATTATTACATAATTAAACTTTTTATGGTTATATAGTTTATTGCAGACGCAAGTGAAGTTATGGATATGTTACTAAAAACTCATTCAGAAGGAGATCTTCCAGATGATGATCCACAAACTAGTTACTTAATATCTGCGTGGGCACGAATTTGTAAAATTCTTGGTATGAAGTTTAAACTTTTAGATAAAATTTTACTAAAATTTTGATTTTAATATATCAGCATATATTTAATAATTAATTTCTATAGGTAAACAATTTGAACAATATTTACCATTGGTAATGGGTCCAGTCTTACGTACAGCAGCTATGAAACCTGAAGTGGCTGTACTAGATAATGAAGACATGGAAGGTATAGAAGATGTTGATTGGGAATTTATCTCCCTTGGTGAACAACAAAACTTCGGAATTAAAACTGCTGGCTTAGAAGACAAAGCTTCCGCCTGTGAAATGCTAGTTTGCTATGCACGTGAATTGAAAGAAGGTTTTGCGGATTATGCAGAAGAAGTAGTACGGCTAATGGTTCCTATGTTGAAATTTTATTTTCATGATGGCGTTCGAACAGCAGCTGCTGCAAGTTTACCATATCTTCTTGATTGTGCAAAAATAAAAGGTTAATTAATAACTATATAAAATAATTACTCAGATTTTATTCGTTAATAATCTCTTTATATTATAATTATGAATAATAACTGAATTACAGGTCCACAGTATCTTGAAGGAATGTGGGCATATATTTGTCCTGACCTCTTAAAAGCAATTGATACGGAACCTGAATCTGAAGTTTTGCTAGAGTTATTATATTCATTAGCTAAATGTGTTGAAACTCTTGGTGCCGGTTGTTTGGGAGCACAACCTATGGCTGAATTATTACGTATATTAGATAAATTACTTAATAAACATTTTGAAAGAGCAGTGGCTAGATTAGAAAAACGTAAAGATGAAGATTATGATGAGGTAAGTAATAGATTTAGTATAAAATTTAAATGTTAGTGTTGGTAGTTCAGAATTTATTATCAAATTGTAGGTTGTTGAAGAGCAACTTGCTGATGAAGATAATGAAGATGTATATACCCTAAGCAAAATAGCAGATATTTTACATGCTTTGTTTACTACTCATAAATCTTCATTCTTCCCTTATTTCGATCAAATCTGTGGTCATTTTGTTAAACTATTAAGTCCTGAAAGATCTTGGTCAGATCATCAATGGGCTTTATGTGTTTTTGATGATGTAATAGAATTCGGTGGTCCTGAATGTGCAAAATATCAAGAATACTTTTTACGACCGATGATACAATACGTATCAGATAAATCAGCAGAAGTAAGACAAGCAGCAGCTTATGGTTGTGGCGTTTTAGGACAGTATGGAGGAGAAGCGTTTGCACAGGCATGCGCAGAAGCTTTGCCTAGGTTAATGGATGTTATAAATGATCCAGAATCTAGATCACCTGAAAATGTCAATCCTACTGAAAATGCTATATCTGCTGTTACGAAAATTCTTAAATACAATAATAAAGCAATCAATGTTGATGAAATACTTCCACATTGGTAAGATTTTAATTTTTATGTGATAATTTATATAAATATTACGAGTAAATTATATAAATATTACGAGTAATTAATCAAATATTTTTAAATGCAGGCTCTCTTGGCTACCGGTAGTAGAAGATGAAGATGAAGCACCTTATGTTTATGGATATTTATGTGATTTAATTGAAGCAAATCATGTCGCAGTTTTAGGACCAAATAATGCAAACTTACCTCGTTTAATAAGTTTCTTTGCAGAGGCATTTTATAAAGATGCTGTGCCGACAGATAATCCTGTTATGGGTAGAATTCTTAGTATTGTTAGACAAATACAGGTATAATGCAATACGAAAATATTATATAAAATATATTTTTATTTTACATTTATATTTTAAAACATACTGATAATTTATCTTTTTTTTTTTTTCAGAACAACGAATCTATGTTCCAAGCATGCATAAATGCATTAACAGCAGATCAGCAACAAGCATTGCATGAGGCACTTCGTGCACAGCCTACTAATTAGCCATTTGCTTTTATCCTCGAACTTTAATATTTGGATATAAAAACAAAAACACACACACAGACATTTGCTTTGTGGAAAATTCACAGATTTTAGGTAGCTACATTATACCTATGGAAATTGCGCTAGCCTAATTATGAAGAGAAATAATTATATGTAACTATTTGATATAATTCGTATATTTGTTGGTTGTATTTCACTAGCAAATACAATAGTCGTCCCATTTTTTACTATTTGGAATTGTTGCAAATTACATACGGCAAAATTTGTTTGTCATTACTTGATAAAGTGTGATATGTTACATATAAATCTAGCAACATAAAATTCATTAAATCATACAAGTGAATTCGCAATGACAAAATTTTAAAAATTCATTGTTTTTATCTACTTTATAGATAATACATAATCAAATAATAAATTTGTTCTTAATGTAGTAAAAAGATTAAACAAGACTATATTTCCCGCCATTCGAGCCGAACGATGCTATGTATCTTTTTTCATTCTTATTCTTTCTTTCTTAATGCTTTGTAAATTGCATAGTATTTTTAAACAGTAATTGCAATTTTATTCTTTAAATATTAAAAATATACTGTTGTCATTGCGATCATTTCGTTCCAATTATCTGCGTTTTAAAACTTGTTCTTTTTTGGCAGAGTAATGAAACTGCGAAAAATAGACTGGAAAAACACCAACTCATTACCATCGAGTGATGGTATAATATATTGTGATTTAGGTATTTTTATTATTAAATTTAGGTACAGTAAATGTTATTTAATAATAATATCGATAATATTACAACGTTGAAGTTAGACGGAACTGCATAAGAATGCCTTTTAAATGAAACGTAATGAACTGCTCTAAAACTTTTTGTTGTAATACATTATTTACTAAATCCTTATTCAACTAACAATATTAAAATGAAAAGTATACATTTTCAGTTTGATGTAAAATATGCGCGATCTTGTAATTTTGCAGTTTATTATCCCATCATTTAGAAATAAAATAATGACACAGAAATTAAGTCATGTTACTAAAATAAGTTGAATGGATGCTGGGCATTACGTTTCTTCCAGTTATTGTGTAATGACAATGTGTATTAAGAACAGTGATGTAAAAAAATGACTGAGTGGAGTAACATTACAACTTCCTGTTCTTGTTGCTATTTATTTGTATACAATAATTGTCACGATATTTACTATTGCATGCAAATTTGCAATGGAAAATATATCGCAAGTAAAATCTACGTCTAATTGCAACAGAATTCCTCCAAAATTTTTTTTATTACGACATATAGGGGAATAGAACTAATGGTCATTTATTTGTATATATATCAAAGTATATAAATATTAAAACTAAGTACGTAAAGTTGAATTACATAAATGTAATTATTGATGATTGATAGGCACTGCCTTATTAATTATTTCATGAAGATCTTATGAAATAGATACAAGCAATGTTTGTAAACATTTCATTAAGAATTACAGGAGAAATGTAACATGTGACAAAAAAAAAAAAAAAGTGAAAACAAAGTCGATATAAAATTATAATTCTTATAATTATATAGAGATTATTTTAAAGTTATTATTAATTAAAATAAATCTCAGCTTTTTAATTGATTGTTTTGCTTTACCTTTAAAATCATGTATTTTGTAAGTAATAGAAATGAAATTTTTACAATGTGAAAAATAATACTGAAAATAAATCTTAGAGCATAATCATCGTTACATTTCGTTTTTATTAATAGGAAAAAAAAAACAATCAAATCGATATTATACAAATTTTATACATATATAATTTATAATCTAAATTTATGAAATTATTATTAATATGAAAAATTAAATTTAAATTTAAATATATCACAGATAAAAGTAGTGACAATGTTATTTTCAATTAAAGATTTCCATTTAACTAAATAACTTTTTGTTTACACATAAAGTATATTAAAAGTAAATTAAGAAAATATGTTTTCTTTTTTTTGTACGAAACATTTTCTGTAGCATTTAATAATTATTATGATATATATGTATATATAGTTTAACATAATTTTAAATATGTGTTTGATAAATTAGTAGATATGAAGTAATCGTATATCATAAAACATATGATCCAATTACTGATTAATTTTCCCTTGCAAATTTATTATAGCTTAGATAGTAACAATTGCAATTTTTTTTTTTTTTTTTTTTTTTTGAATTGTATTCTACTTTTTCAGAAAATAAAAATTTTATATATATATATATATATATATATATATATATATATATGTGTATATATATATATATATCCTATTACTTTAATCTGTTCTAAATAATTCGTCTAACATTTTGTTTAAGTAATAAACCAGTCAAATGGCAATAAATGATACAAATTTAAGATTTTTAAAACTGAAATATTTTTATTAATATACTTTCTATATTAAACATATTATACTGATGGAATTACATCGGAAGCAATTGTGGCCATTGAGGAGAAGGGGAAGATTAAAAAATCTCTTACTCGTAAAGGCAAAACAAAATTAGATTGAAGAAGCTGTCTCAGCATATACATCGCTTCATCTCTTCTAAAACATGATCTGGAACGATATGTGTTCAACACTGATATTGCCTCTCAAGAACAATCTGATATGTGATGAAATTAATTGTGGTGAATTTAAAGATGATAAAATTATAAAACTTAGGATAGTTTGACGTTATCAATGAATCTTTTTTTTGATCAGCCGTGAGTCAACTTACGTTTGTATAGTAAATAAAAACTTAAGATCTGCTATTAAAGTAGTTAAAAAAAAATCTGTGGTTTTTCGGACTGGTCATTAATAATAATCTAATGATAATACTTTATGTCAGATAAACTGCGATATGCAATCTTTTTAAATAAACTGAATTCAACTATTCACTTATTATTTTTTCCACTGGAGAGGAAAAGGTGTATGAAACATCTGCGGTTATTGATTCTGGATGATAACGAAAGAAATCATTAGGACTTCATGTGGCTCAACAAAGCGTGGTGATTTTGCAAAAGTCAACTAAATTATTTATTAAATATATACATAAAATCACTCAAGCAATAGTCAAAAACCTGAAATCTACTGAAATATCTGAGATGCATGAAACTTGTTTGAATGTTAGACTTGATACAATCAGGTAAGGTCAGACTTGGCAGATATATAAGTATAGGCAGTATATTAATTTGGTCAACTGGATAAGAATTGATTTTGCAGGCCAGCACAACCATTGAAATGATGTAATTGAGTATAGATGTTGGAAGAAAATTTTACTTGAACAATTACATGTTGTATTTGGAGATAGATTCATAATGAGATGCTATATGAGTTTGAAACAGTTTGTATCAGTTGGATACATATAATATTTGCATAATAAATAACTTTATTAAAATTAATGACTAAAGAAATACAAATTTACATAAACTTGAACATATATTTATACTGTAGAACAAAGGCAACAGAATTAATTTTATTATCAACAAAATACAATAGTTTTACAACGAAACATATGTTCAACGTGAGAATTTTTGTTATTTTAATTTGTATTGTCTATGAATTATATATGTGTGTATATACAATATAAAGATAGTTATAAGATATTATATCAATTATATAAAATTATAACTTTTTAAATTATTCTGCATAATGTAACTTAGATTATTATTTCATAAAACGTTAACATTTTATTCTTATGTTCGTATAAAAGAATTAAATTTCCCAGAAATAATCTTATACAATTGAAAATATTTTGTGCTCATGTGATAGAAAGAGTGTGACGTTGTGATCATCCGATATTACGTCATCGTTATCCCCCTTCCTCTTTTACAACCGGCGCTCATTCTATCGTGAAACATGTTCGGAGCACATTTATATATTAGACGTGACATATTCATTGTGTGAAATTAGTTTTCAACTGACCGTGTTTTAATTTGCAATTACTATTTCCTTCGACAACTGAAAGGTGTATCTATTTAAAAACGTATGTGGCTTTATCACAAAAAACGAATTACATCTAAACCACGTTTTGCGCGCGTTTTATAAAAATACTATTTTTGTATCGATAAATTTCTTTCACGATGATTTTCTACATATAGAATATCAATAATTTTAACCAACTAATGAAAATTAATCGACCATATTAATTAATTGCTATACAATATTAATATCGATATTGTATAACATTTAACAAAATAAATTGTTTCTGTCGGAACTTAGCACGTTCCTTCCAATACTTCATTAATACTAATGTTAAAGAAACTTGATTAATTGTAATAATTACGCTTAAGAATTGACGTTTACAATTTCGCAGATAATTTTTACATTCATAATAAAGATGAAAATAATAAAAGATTCCAGTTGAGAGTAATTTAGAGCATAAATTTCGATGGTTTTATTTCCGATAATTATGCAAACGAAACTAGATTTAAATAAAGATATTGGTATGGCTTCTTGTCCTCGTTTGTAATTCCCGTATTCTATATAGAACTCACGCACATACAAATACCATACCATTTAAACCTGGGGTTCGTAGTACCGTTATTCCACCCCTGGTTGCATACTAAACGCATGGAATGCGCAGAATGTCGACAAGAAGTGTTATGGCAGGCGTCTGCTACATCAGCCGTTAGGTAGTATGTTACGTTAACATAAAATATGAAATTTCTTTAACTATTTTTACGAGTTTGTTTCTCAAGTTTTGTCATAAAAGTCACGCGAGGTCCCGCAAATCTTACGAATTCAATAACGGAACTCTTTGATTTTTCGTCATATCCTATTACTCATCATTGTAGTCAGTCACAACGTGTGAAAAGACGTGAAGTTAGGGCGTGAAAAGGTTTGTTCAATTGGAATTCTCGCAAAAGTTTAAAAAGAAAATATACGCAAGGATGGACAGTACATTAACGATCTATTCTAGAAAGTTGGGTGATTTCACTCTACAAATTTATTAAATAATTAAATTATTATTAATGTTGTAAATATTGTATGTATCATTCGTTGTTTCTGGTTATATTTTGTTTTATGTATTCATTTTTTTTAACCTTAAAACATATTTTAACAATATGCTAGTATTTTGCAGGGAATAAATGCATATCTCTGACATTTTTCTTGAATAATAATATGTAATAACATCAAATATGACTTGTTCAGAATTAATTCTGCACATGTCTGATTGCTCCCCGAAGATTATACGACACGATATTCACAAATATTTTGTAAACAATGATTTGTAATCCTAAAGCTATAGTAATGACATTGATCAGTAATTTTAGATAACTAATGAAAATCAGGTAAACTTTTATCAATTTCTGTGTAGATCAATTAATATCTATATAAATATTATTAGAAATAATCAAAGTACTTATTAAAGTGAATTTAAATAGTGCTAATTTTATCTTTGGTATTATAACTTTATAAAGTGCTGTCATAAGTCTATATTTTTATTTTGCTCTGATATAGTCTCAGTGTCCAAATGTGTACATTGATTATACAATATATTTCTATAGTTGTAATTACTTAATATGCAATCAATATACAAATAGTTTTATAGTTTCTGTCAGAGTTTATAGTTTCTGCCAGAGTTTATATTTATCTTTTATTATATACATACCAAGTAAAAGATATAATATATCTTCTATTTAATATTTTATATCATTTATGATTATACTATAATAAATACATATGTTAGTTTTTTACGATAGAATTGATAAAAATTTTCTTATTCTGTTTAATAGGATTTTTATGGATCTAACATTGAAACAATAAAAAATGTCTAGAAAGCGTGCTAGAGAAGAAACTATGTTGAATTCTACATCTTATTCAAATATTCAAAATGGAGAAGATGCATCTTGTTCCAGGGAAGATTCACCTGTTTATCCTGTAAGTATTACTTAATTAATATCAGTAATAAACATACTTATTAAATAAGATATTTATTTAGATTGCTTTATCATTTAATTGTTGTTTTATTGATTTAATGTTTGAATAAATTTTATATTATAATATGTATATGAAACATCTTGTATTTTTTATGTATATATACACAATATATTTTCATCTAGAAATAATATATTTTTCAGCCATACAGAAACAAAAATTTTTTATAACTGTATGATATATTATATCTTAATATGAAACCATAAACATTTGATTATTTAAAAAGTCTTGTTGAAATGTTTTATAAACAAATATATAAACATAGATTCTGAAAATACTTTGTAATGAAAAATTCAATAAATATTTAGATTTTAAATAATAAGTTTTCTATCAGATATTCAAATATTTTTTAGGATATATATAACTCCTTTTTATATATCAATAAAATAGATTTATGCTATATCTGATATTGAAATATAAATATAAAATATAATATTTCAATATTAAATATAGCATAAACCTATATTATATTTAAATATTATATTTTATATTTATATTTCAATATTAAATATAGCATAAATCTATTTTATTGATATATAAAAAAGAGTTATATATATCCTAAAAAGTTTTATTTGAATATGTGATAGAAAACTTTAAGGTCTTTAAAAGAAGTTGTATCTAAGAAGTTTAACAATATATCTGATAAAATATTCATTTATATTCTCTTTTATGAAACATATACTTTTATTAATATTAACAGCTAGTGACAATGACTTGGGGGATCAACAGGAATTCAAATAATGAATCAGGTCGAAATTTGCCGAAAAAGTATAGTAGCGAAAGTTCTGTTTACCATAAAGAACTTCCAGTGAGTCGAATAAATTTTTTTTTTTAATAATTTTACTGTTAACACACATTACAATTAGATATTTACTTTCCTTTTTTTGCTTTCAAAACTAAATACAAATTATATTTGTATTTCTACTATAATTAAAATTTAAAAAAATTATAAACCTATCATTAAATAGGTTGTTATTATATTGTACCTAATTTTTTAAAAATAAAAAAAGTTTAGATAATCTTGTTCTTAAAGAAATTTCTTTGTATATATTTATATTCTTAATTCTATAAACTGTATATATTTATATTCTTTCTTTCCTTTTTTCTTTTTGATTTTATGTCATATTATTTATTATGCTGTTTATATTGTATCAAATTTATTGCAGTCAATTTGTAAGGAAGCTCCCTTTAGTGATGATCCAGAAGCACTAGCTGAACGAAATGCGTGTGATTATAATATTCGTATTACATTAAAAATGGCAAAAAATGGTAAAGGTTAGTTTGAATGGAATTAATTATTTTTGTAAGTAGAAAGTAATAAAAATTTTTAAATACTATATACATATAATATTAATAATTTGTATAATGATTTAGCTCCTAGGAAAATTAGAGTCTATGCAGATGGTATTTATGATCTGTTTCATCAAGGACATGCACGACAACTTCTACAAGCAAAAAATATTTTCTCTAATGTATATCTTATTGTAGGAGGTAAAGAAACAAATTTCACAATTTCAGAATGTAATGTAAACTTAATATAATAAAAATAATTTTTATTTTAGTTTGTAATGACCAATTAACACATAGTAAAAAGGGAAGAACAGTTATGACAGATATTGAAAGATATGATGCAGTAAGACATTGTCGCTATGTAGATGAAGTAGTTAGGGATGCACCTTGGGAACTGGATGATGAATTTCTTACAAAGCATAAAGTAAAATCAATTGTATATTATTTTTTAAAAATATTTAGCAAATGTTGAAACAGTTTATATTTAATTTTTCAGATCGACTTTGTTGCTCATGATGATATACCTTATATGACAGATGATAGTACAGATGTTTATGCAGGTTTGAAAGCTAAGGGTATGTTTGTAGCTACACAAAGAACAGAAGGGGTATCAACATCTGATATTGTTGCAAGAATAGTTAAAGATTACGATATTTATGTAAGAAGAAATCTTGCGCGAGGCTATAGTGCCAAAGAACTTAATGTTTCTTTTCTCAATGTAAGTATATATTTTTTAAATGCATTATTTTTTTTAAATAGTACTTCAGAGATTTTATATAATAAGATATATAACTATAGGAAAAGAAATTTCGTTTACAAAATAAATTTGATGATCTGAAAGATAAGGGAAAACGAGTGATGGAAAATATTGGTGAGAAACGCATGGATATGATTAGCAAATGGGAAGAAAAATCACGGGACTTTATTGACGCTTTTCTCCTTTTATTTGGAAGAGAAGGTAGATTGGTAGGTAATATTTATGATGCAATTATTTTATATTCAATATATTCAATAACTATTATTCGTGTATTCAATATTAACAATATACTGATGCATTATAAAAAAATAAATAATACTTAAATTAACTCGTATAATTGCTCATTTTATTCTGAATTATTCATAAGATCTTTTTCAATACAATATGTGTATAGATAAAGAGGAATAATTGTAAGATTTTTCTCAAAACTTTTTACTTGTAAATAATTGTTTGTATCTATCTTATATGTATTTGTAATATATTTATTATTTGTGATTGAAACTAAAATAAATTAAGATTTAAAAATTCAAATCTCAAATGAATGTTTAATTTGTTTCTTTTTATAGTCAACAATTTGGAATGAAAGTAAAGGTCGTTTGATGCAAGCATTATCTCCGCCTGCAAGTCCAAAAAGAGATGGCAGTCCGAATGGCAGTAATAGCAGCAATAATGATGAAGATCAGACAAGGTACATCACAGCATTCGCGTCAATTGACTAACATGCAACACCACTTCATTCTGTACTGCTTCTCTGTATGAAAACCTTCACACCATCCATTTGCAGCATGTTATGTTAGTATACAATTCCACTGTTAAATACATTAGATAAATTTTAAGCAGTACACACAATATAACCAATGCTTGTTGTGAAAAATGTGTTTTATTTTCTTTCTTCTCTCTGTGTAAATAATATATGTATATGTATATATGTATAACTTATCTGGTATTATTACAAATATATTTCTTTATAAAAATAGATTGTAAATATGAAATATGTTATTTATTTGGTGTTAATTCAAAATAGTTTAATTAATTTATATGATTTATGTTGCAGTCCACCACCAAAAAAGACTGGCCGTTTTGAATACTCGCAGAGTAATTATTATTTAAGTGATGATTATAGCGATGATGAAGAAGAAAATTTACACTCCAAATGATAACTCCTTTTTTCAAAATCACATTCTTTATTTTGACCAAAAATATCGTGCAATCTCTTTGAAACTGTTCAAAGATATTTTAATGCAGCTATGTGATTTCATAATATGGATTATAATATTATGCTTAATAGTGTTTTTATGGTATGATTTCATACTATATACAACATAAAATTATCTGTTATAATGTTTTCATTCAATCCACGCACGGATTATTATATATTAATTAGATTGCATATAGTATACGGACAGTACATACATAGAAAAGTCATGCAAATTATTTAAAACTTTTGTTGCTACTATTGAGACTTTCATTATTGTTGTATTATGAATAAGTTCCTATATTTCAAGCGATACTTTATCATTCATTTTGAGTTTCATATTATGCCACAAAAACTAATAGTCAAAAGACATATTTGCATCTTGTGCAGAAGACTTTGAGTGTATTCAGTTAACAATTTGTAATAATTTTCAATTCTTTTATTGCTAATTTTATATAACACTTTTTTACAAGTTACCTCATAATTAATTACATAATATATATTTGCAGTGAGTATCTTTGCTGCAGTTAGTATTAAATGATATTTTTATTCAACATAATGTTGTTTATGAGAAGTTAGTCTATATAAAATTAATATTTATTTATATCTTAAAACTTATGTTATTAATAGAATGGCAATATGAAAATAAGAAGAACTATTTGTCAAATATATAAATTTAATTTAATGTATCAAGGATATTAAAAAATTTGAATAGTACTAAACAAATTTAGCTATATTATTTTATAAATAATTATTCTTGTTTATAATCAAAAAGTGTTTATAAAAGATACAAATTCGTAATTTATTTTTATTACTAAATAATTATGTGTAGTAAAATTTCGATAAAATTCACTGGATAAAAACACAAATTCAAATCAAAATAAATATAGGATTTTTAATTTAAATAACAACACGTCAAAATAGAAAGAAATTATTTTAAAGACGGTGCTTTCATTTGAATATATGTAGATATAACCCTGGAATGGTACAACCATTTTTATATTTTTAAACCATAACGTAGTTTTATAATATTCTTATATTTATGAAATATTTGAATGAAATATTTTCTTAATATATAAATGAAATATATAATAAAGATATTTATTATTATTTTCGGTATATAGCATTCAGAATAAACTAATTTTTAACACACAAATTAGAAACACTGTTAATAGCATATATGTAGTTCCAGGGATTCAAACATATATTAGATGAAATTAGATATAAATTTGAAGGTTAATATGTACGAAAGATCTGAAAAAAATATGTACATATAAATTTGTATACATTGAAGCGTTTCTGTTTCTTAAAAAGTACCAATGGTGCCTGAGTTTGACATCTTTTATTTAAATACATATAAAATAATATATTTCCATAAAGCACGTTATAGAAAATTTTTGAAGTATATTAATGTTTGCTTCCCAATGTAACTGGTGCATAAATTAGTAATATGTAATATGTGATAAGATGTAGATATACTTTCGATATCTTTTTTAAGGAATACATCTAACAATTATTAGATACGCACATTTTTATGATCCATAAAATAAATTTATGTAATTTCGATAACTTCTCTATAAAAAGAAAAACATTATTAATTTATGGTTTTGAAACGAAAAATTGATATCCACATTGTCAGAAAATATATTTACATAAGTGCAAATGCAAAATGTAGTAATGTTCCATATTATTTATATAAGAGGAAAAATAAAACTTATTTAATGAAACACAAGTTGTAAATTAAATCAAATAATATTATTCAACTGTATATTAATTGTAAATTTTACACAAGGCATCTCGGCTAAATAATATCATCTAAATATCTATTTTATTATTGTCGGATAGAAAAATTTCTTAAGTTACGCTATCTTTTACTATGCTATATTGAATAGTGGAAATAAATTTTTCTCAAGCTTATTTTTTTTACGAGATTTCAACTTCATCAATAAATTTTTTAAATTTACAAATTCAATCCCAATGTGTTATGTGACTGTGCTATTAAACCCATTTAATCTCAAGATATTTGTGTCTGAAAGTAACTAATTTGTAAGTATTTATACAACGAAGCGAGTTATACATTAACGTTCGAGCATGAGCACTATTGAAATTATTTATTCAATGAACGATTGGTTCTTCAGTTCTATTCAAAAATTAAAAATATATCGAACGTGTAACTCAATCTGCCACGTATGTATTTAGAAAATTGTAATTATATTTAGGCACAAATATCTCGAAAATAAATAGTCTGAATAGTATGGTTATTAGAGTTGTTGAATTTCTTTTTTCACGTTCTGTGAAATTAGCAAAATATGTATTCATTTAAAAAGTTTCATTTAAAAAATTACTGATGATGTTAAAATTTCGTAAAAAAAATGACCTTGACAAAATTCCTATTGTTCAATAAAGTTTTTGAAATAGTATCCTTTCGAAAATCTTTTCGTACAACAATAAATAAGACAGTTATTCCATTTCTATTCAGCTGTGAAATTCCATTAGCTAGATTCCATTTAGGACTTCTTGTATATTAGCATACATACAAATTGATATATTTTAAAATTTGTGTATCTAGCATTATATTTTTTTTGTATATAATCTTCCAATTTGTGAAAAAGATAATATACATACATCTCAATCATACAATATAATGTATTTATATTTAAAATAGTAATAAAGATTAATAAAAATTAATATTTTTTATGTGATCACATACAATACCCAATACGCGATAATTTAAATTTAAATGATAACATAAAATATATTATTGAGTATATATTTTATGATTGTTTTAAAATAATTGTTTATTTCTTTAAATGTCATTTCTTTGAATTATTGATTATTGTTTTTTGTATACTCAATCATTAACTTTTTCTTTTCGAAAATTTAAATTGTAACAAAAATGGTAGCGACAATTTATCAATGTTACCATCTATTTGAAAAGAAATTCGATGACGCGCATAATTCCAATTACGCTTAATTTTGCAATATTTTCTTTGTTAAATTATAATTTACATTGCGTTTCTGTTAAATTAAATGTTACATAATTTTTTATTTGTTGCCACTTGCGCAATTCAGGCATGCGACTACAAAAAAGTAATTGGCATTACTTGATATACACTGATACATAGATATCAAATGTAACCGATAACTTCATGATTTTACGCTAATATTGGTGCTAATAGCGCGTGTTGTCTTTAGCTGATATCTATTGTTAGTTTTCAATATTTAAAATTACGAAATGTTCTTACACCACTGCTTTCCATCTGAGCTTTTTTTATATACATGATCTTTTCTGAATTTTACGCGAATCATAATCTATGTTGCACTGAGATTTCGTTCTAATCTGAACTTATCAATTTCTTTGTAAGAGATAAAGTGAATTTTACATAGTGTAGTTGTCTGAAGTGAGTGAGATTTATCGTGTGCTTGCGTTACAGGAAGAAAAAGAGAAGCAGAGTCTCAGCAGTCAGTGAGTAATTGATATGCGGGGAAGAATGTCGAAAGAAAGACGAAGATAAGTATTAAAACCGCGGGCCACTATTGATAATTGCATTTGCGTGCGACTTCATGATACTTCGCAGCGAATTTAGCAGGAGAAGCGCGGATTATTCGACTGTTACGTTCACAATGGATTTCAAATAAACGCTGATGGTAAAAAGTGTCGGTTTTGTGCCAAATATCCGGATATTTGTACGTATATTTATACGTGTATATATAAATATAGATTTGAGGAATCTTGTATACTGTAGGACCCATGAAAATAATACCACCTTGGGAACCTTGTTCAGAATTTGAACTTGGCTATTGTCTATACAATTCAAGGGCGTTATATGCTACGCCATCGAGCTCCGCTGTTCTTTATTTTTCCGGGTCCTTTCTCCCACTGGATTCGCCTATAGGAGGCGCTCTCAATGATCAGTACGAAGAAAAGCGTACGAGAAGAACGATGTTGTAACTAACGGCCAAAATGGAAGAACAAAGCGTTCATAGCAGTATCAGTGATATAAATAGTGAAGAGGCAGTTAGAATTGAGCGTAAGTTGATCAGTATTTTCGTTTTTAGTATTGTCTTCAGGCGTACATTGTTAATTATTGCGTATATCATAGGCACCTGTATGAACTAACCCTACCTCACTCGTTATCAAAACTCGCGCGACGATGCTTGTCTTATATCTGTCATTCATTCTGATCTACAGATAAATTGAAACATCACATCCCGTTACTTTCCTCACACACTTCTGTATTTGTGTCTGAAATCCTATGCGGGAGAAATATCAAGCGATTTCTTACAAAATTGCCCTTGACTTATTCTCCAAAATTACGTCAGAATTTGTTCGAAATGTCTTTACGAGCTTTCCCTACAGTTCGTTATATATTTGTTTTGAATTTACTTTATCTTTCATATTTATGGTCGTGTCACTTTAAGGTTAAAATCATCTGTCATTTGGAATTACAGCGTTACTTGCTGTGCATTATACCTCTTGAATTATTGTACAACAATTACTGATTTTGTTATATTTTTATTATAACTTCATTATTTACTAATGAAATACATGTACACACACTTTAAAGCACAGTATCGTTCAAAAATATTTTGATTAAATTTGTATTATTAGTTGGTAAATAATTGCTATAATAAATGAAAAATGTACTTCTCATTTATTGGTATAATTATTTAAATAGTATTTTAGTGCTAAATTGTTGAAAAATAATTCTGATTAATTTTATTATTAATAATTATAATATTTTATTATTTATAAAACAGCATAGCACATTGTTTTCTTAATATTTTTTATTAATAATTAATAAATAATAAATAGATAAAATTCATTTACATTTTAATTTTCATATCTAATATCATAATTCTAATCATTTTTCGAAGAGTGAAATCATACAAAGGTTTCTTAAGAATGTACATATTTACAAATAGAGAAAAGATATTTACACTTTGTACCTTTTACAATTAGTCATTTCTTGAATAGAGTTAGTCATTATTTACATCCATAAAATTATTTATGGACTCAATATATTTAAATACAATAGTAGAAGATATTGAAGTTGGTAAAGGAAAATAAGATTAGCCATTGTATAATAGATTTATTGACACTGTACCTAGGGACATAAAACCATTGTACCTATTTATTGCTCAGTACCTGTACTTATTGCAGTTATGAATAGACCACCAAATTTGTTTGATTTATCGATTTAAATTTCAAAATAAGGATTTAAATATGGACTTCAAATATTTTCCATCGCTTTAGAATAAATTTATAATTTGTTTTGCAAATAAATTTATTTAATTTAAATAAATAATGATATTATTTGACAATCATGTTATCTAAATTAATAATAATGGAATATTTTTTGTTTGAATTTTAGCTATGATTATTCCACGTAAGAAAAGGATATGCTTAATTGGTGCAGCTGGTGATGATCCTGCACTTGGTGCTGCTGCTCAGCAATTTAGTGTACCTGTTCTAAAATCTGAAACTGGTTTAGAACATGTAGAAGATACATCGTATTGTACATACTTCATATTGAAAAAATTTGAGGGACCTGAATATGATGCTCTTCATAAAAGTGCACATAGGTCCGTCGCAGTTGATTTCATGTACTTTCTGATATATTAGGACATAATTAAAAGAATCTGATTTTTGCTGTTTTAATTTAACATGTAGGATATTGGGACCGACAGCACTTCTGCAGTTGGCAGAAAAGAAGGACTCATTACCTAGTATTAATAGACCAATGTATACACAAGCCATGGTAGGCACGGTAGTGGTGTTTACTGGATTTAGGAAAAAGGACGAATTGGTTAGTTTCGTTTTAATGTACATTAATTAATATAATGTACATTATAGTAATAACAATGTGATGTTAATTATTATATTATAGACCAAATTGATCAATATGATTCACAATATGGGTGGAAGTATTAGGAAAGAAATGGGTGCAAAAGTGACACATCTCATTGCTAATTGTTGCGGTGGAGATAAGTACAGGTATGCTGTTACATTTCGGGTCCCTATCATGTCTATGGAATGGGTGACAGCATTATGGAATGCCAAAGACGATATTTCCAGTTATGGAAATAATGAAGAACTGGTAATAATTATATTTCTAACTATTTTTTAATATCTTAGTGTTTAATTTTTAATATTTATTTTTTCTAATAAAAATGAAGCAAATAAAAACAAATTGTGAATTTTTACACTTAATATATATAATTATTTTAATTATGACATAATTATTTTTATATAGATTGCAACTTATAAGCTAAAACCATTTTTTGGTGCAAAAGTATGTTTCTTTGGTTTCCCTGATGAAGAAAAGCGTCACATGTGCGAAGTTTTACAACAACAAGGTGGTGAATCTACAGAAATTGATGATCCAAATTGTACACATGTGGTAAGCTTATATAATATAATTTTTTAAAAATATTTTTTAAAAGAAGAACATGTAAAACAAACATGTGTAATACATTCTATAGGTAACAGATTTAGGAAGTCATCAGTACAAGAAATCAAACAATACTTTTGATACGCTACCATATACTAAAAATCCTAATTATATTCCTTATCATTATTTAAAAACAAAACCAGTTTCCTTTACATTTTATAATCCATACACTAATACAATTCCTAGCAAAAGAATGTTAAATTCTTCGTGTATTTCTCAGACTAATAATACGAATTTAACTAAAAAATTAAGTACTAGACGCTTTTCACATTGTTTCTGTTCTTACGTTCCTCAATATTTTGAATCTAAAGAAAATCAATGTACTTACTCTATACTAAATGACGTTAGTCAAGATTCAGCAATTTGCATGGATGATAATTTATATGATTATCGAAGTTTATCAGATGAATCTTGTATGTCTGAGTTTTCATGTGCTGATTCTGGTATTAGTATGTCTAATATAATACGAACAAATGATGTAAGTGCAGTACAGCAAAATAATTTTCCTGTTATATCTACTATGTTAGACTTGCATTCTATATCTTCTTCATCTTTATTACTATGCAATGATAAAAAAATTAGAAATAATATATCTAATGCTTATTCAAATTATAACACTAGTGATAAAAATCAAGAAAGATTATATAATTTTAAATCTTCTACATTATGTAAGAAAAGGATTACTGAACATATAAACAACCAATATCCTGATAAAAAGTCTCATTTGTTAAAATTTTATAAGAATATGCAGTGTACACGAAATCCTTTTAATTTTAATAAAAAAATTATATCTCCTAAACGATATATTAAATGGCGAAAAGCTAAGTCTTGTATTACAATCCATAAAATTAGTTCTCTCCATAAATTTAAATTAAGAAAAATACATTCACATCCTAATTTATTAAAACAACATGATTTAGAACTCAATGATTCTCTTTTATATAATCAATCACCTACATCAATGGCAAAAAGCAAAAATTTTTCAAATACATGTAAACTAAGTTCTTCTATTTTGTCAAAATTTAGTCACTTAAATTTTTCTCCAATGCTTAAGCAATATGTAGTTATTAGTCCAGTCAAACAAATTCCAGAAACGCAAAAACAGAAATATACTCCTTTACCTAGTCCTCTTCCTATCCCTGCGAAGGTAGCAAAATTGTCAACTTCTGAATATGGCTCAAGAAATACTTTTACATCACATGAAAGCTATTTAAATATTTCTCCCAAAAGTTGCATTTTGAAAGATGATCATGTAAAACTGGACAAACAGAAGGACAAACCATTATCTTTGGTATTTTTATTTTTTTAATGGGATATTAGGTTAATATTAGGATAAAAGATTAATAATTTGCTCCATTAAATGACAAGTTGTAGACAAGTAGAAATATGGTGTATAGATGAGATTAATCGTATTATTATAAATTGTTATAATTAACGAAATAAAAATTGTTAAACGTAAAAAAGTTATTTATGAATATATTATATGTAATCTTAGAGTATATTAATTTAATAGAAATTTCTATTTCCATGTTATCTTTGTGATGTATTAGATTGTGTCTGTACATGTGTATACTAATATAAATTACATAATTAGTATTTCGTTTTATATAAATGTTTAATAACTTAAACAGTATATATACTTTTGTTACATTATAAAAGGAATTAGTAGGATATTATATGTTCCAAAATATATATGTTATTGTTTTGTATTGGTTAAATATGAATAAATAAAACAGATTAGAATTATAATAAGCTATTATCATTTTAGGTTGTTGATGAATCAAATGTAAATGCATTACCAGATTTAGCTTCTGTGAGAGCACATATTGTAAAGGCAGAATGGTTTTGGACATCTGTGCAAAATGAAGGTGCAGCCGACGAAAAAGAATATTTATTTGAAGATGTAAGTTTTATTAAGACATTTTATACATTTTTTATTCTAAATTATTTATTTTACGTTTAGTATTTGGAATCCGTTCTATCGCCAACTATATCAGTTAGACGTGATAGTCAACAAGCTGCCACTCCAAGTACAGCATCTACAAGACGAAAACGCAAACGCTTAGCAGAAACTTTATCTAGTCTGGTTCAAAATGGTGCAGATTCTCCAGCACTGCATAAAAGGCGATCAAGTATCAGTGATGCAGGACATTTAAGTGTTAGTGGAAGTTTTCTTGATTGTACAACAAGTCCAGACAAACCGTTACTTGATGGTCAGTTTTTTATAAGATTTATTGATTTTTAATAATTTGTTAAATTTATCATGTTTAGAAATATCCTATAATTATTACGTAACTATATATTAATTATAATTTACAAACTATTTTAATATTTTCTTAACAGTCCTACTAAATACATCTTCCCTTCATTTGTGGTTCATTTGTTTTGTTGAATAAAGTATTATATTTTTACATATATTTTATTTAAGAATTATACTAACAAAATGATATAAATTTTTCATGTTTTGTTTTAATTCTTGATAATTTTTAATATGAATCATATGAAGGAGAAGATAATATAAATTTGTATTATTAATAACTGCCAGATATTCCAGAAGTGGAGGCTGTTAATACAGACAGCTCTAGGAAAAATTTATCACCGCGTCATCAAGTTTTCTTAGAATTAGTACAAACAGAATCTAATTACGTTGGTATTCTCAGTACAATTATGACGGTAAAATCTGTTTCATTATATATTGTGCTGAAATAAATAATAAATTAATGTTCATATAATGTAACATTTATGTTTCTAGCTGTTTAAATCCCCGTTGGAAGATCTTATAGATACAACTGGTGAATTATTAAATGGTACAGAAGCTAAAATTATATTTGGTAATTTTCCACCTATTTATGAAGTTCATAAAAAAATGTTGGAAGAATTGAGATATAGTGCTACTCATTGGATGGAAGACATTAGTATAGGTAATATATTTCTGAAGTTCGCACCTGACCTAGTCAAGGCGTATCCACCGTATGTCAACTTCTTCGAAAATACAAAGGAGATGCTCGACCAATGTGATCAAAACAAACCACGATTTCATGCTTTTCTGAAGGTTTGTCAAACGAAACCTGAATGTGGCAGACAAAGTTTAAAGGAGCTATTAATTAAACCGGTACAAAGGTTACCCAGTATTAGTTTGTTATTAAACGGCAAGTATATTTATTAAAGTTATTATTTCTTCAGTACAGCGATCGTTTCTTAGATAGTATTACCTTATAGCTGAAAACAATGTAATGTATAAGAAATACTTTAATCATTATTGGTCGTCGATTATATTTTGTTTGCATGAATTTGAGATTGTTGATTATAGTTTGAGTTCATACCGAAGAAGTTAAATAATCACCATAATATGTAACAAATTGTATATATTAATATGTGCATTAATGTGTTATAGATATTCTTAAACATACAAGTAAAAACAATCCAGACCACAGTGCTTTGGAATTATCAATTAGCAGTATTAAAGAAGTTATGACCTATATAAACGAGGATAAAAGAAAAACTGAAGGTCAATTGGTTATGTTTGACATTTTTAATGAAATTGACAACTGTCCGCCGCATTTAGTTTCTTCACATCGATCCTTCATTGGTAAATGTGATGTGATGGAACTTAGTGAGGGTTTAAGTGGACGTGGTGATCATTTAGTTTTGTTTCTGTTTACTGATACTCTCGAAATATGTAAAAAAAGATCAAAGGCTTTTAATTCATTGAAAAGTCCTAACACGGCAAATGGATTGCATACAACTAAATTAAGTCAAGGAAAACCTTATAAACATATCAGGATGTTATCACTTAGTACGATAAAAAAGGTTGTGGATATACGAGAAACAGATGGTAAGCTAATAAGAAATAATATTCTAAGTTAATAATGAATTTTAATCGTATTTAAATATTGTGTTTAAATATTCTAATCTTTCTTCATCTCATAAAAAAATCACGGTTTCAAAATTAGTAACATTATTAAATGTTTAGTATATGTAAAAATTTATATTTGTAAGAAGTTTAATATTTCTTCGTTAAATAAAATATATAGAATAAATATAAAAAATATACTTCTTGCTTTATATATTCATAGAATGCCATAAAGTTTTCGCGTTAATGGTGAGAAGTAATCAAGAGTTAAAGGAAAAATTGTTTTCATTTACAATTACTGATGAAGAAGTAAATAAGACAAATTATTTACGAACCTTGTGTAGACAAATGGCTAATACAGTGTGTAAAGCTGATGCGGTAAGGTTTAATCTTTATTTTGTAAAAAATTTAAATTTAACAAATCCTGATTTTTATTTACATAATATTATTATTTACAGTCTATTAGCAGTAGTATTTTTATTTTTTTAATTTGTAGGATACGTTCCTCATAAGTCTTGATTCGCATCAACTTGAAATTGATACAAGCGACGTAGCTTTAGGAACATTAAGTAAAGCATTTAAGTAAGTAAAACTTGGTATCTGTTAATAATGTGAAAATGATTGTATCTCTCTAATAACTGTATTTATTATACATATAATGTATAATGTAAAAAATTATATTATATATTAAATATTACCTAAGATAAAAATAACTTTTACAGAAATGATAATAATACTTACAGTTTTTTAGAGAAACTTTAAAAAAAAAAAAGATTTTTCCATTTAAATAGATCAAAGAAATTTATTAAATATAAGAAGAATAAATAATTAATTAGTACTATGCTCTTAGAATAGCTTAGCTTACAATATACTTTTTTGCATTGCTACTAAGTTTTGCTGAATTTAGCACATATACACACACACATACACACACAAAATCTTTTTAGTATATTGATATTTAGTGTATGCTAAAAATAAAATTTTTGCGTTTTTTTATATTTATATCATATGCTATAAAAAAATTGTACAAATCTATTCGATAAAGTAGACATTTCTATGGAAATACTTATGAAGGAAAGATTTATCAGGTGTTCTAAACTGTTTTTCTCCTGTATTGCATGTTAACAAAAAATAATGGGGCGACGACTCGTTTGGTTGCAGGAGCCTATTTCATAATTTTTACCTGGAGTATATGGACCCGTATGTGTTCCTACTCAATAGCATGTGTGAAACCACGTTACATGTCCCACTACCGTCAGTTTTCGCACCAGGCTGATTATCTTTTTTTTTTTACTTGCTTTGGTCCTTTGTTCCCTGCTTGTTTAAATAAATTAATCTCAAAATTCAATAACTTCACGAAAAATTTGACCAGTTCAAGCGTAATTTTGAATATTATCAGCCTGTTTAAAATCATTAATACATGATATTTAACCCTTTGACGACTTATATTTATACATAAATAATGGTCCAGATATTGGATCCAAATATACTTAGTATCTTTAGTTTTTTCAAATTTTGAGATACATAGCACAATTATATTTATTATCGGTTGAGTTCCAGCACGATCATCCTGTTCAGATTGCATATCGAAAAGATCAATTACGTACATCTGATTGCGATGTACAATTGCCGATGCGTTTTGCTAATATTAATTCGTTGCATTATTATTTCTTTTCATATAAACCCTATAAGTAATGCATTTTGTTGCTAGTTGCGATTATTTTCAGTTATTTTTATTCAATAAAAACTAAAAATATTTATGAACTAATAGTAATAATATACGGTATTTATCGGAATAATATGTACAAGTGGATAGGGAATGATTTCCTACAAAAAAAAAAAAAATTTTGATTTGAAACTTCATTTTTGACTAAATCAAGTAACCTATCATGTTACTCAACATTTTTTGATAAGATTTTTCTAACAACACCTGGGCTCAAACGATTAAGTTCTAGTGGATTATGAAAGTTTATTTATAAGAAAAAAAAGGATAAAGATGGCAGTAAACATGAAAATGATTTTAGATTTTAAATATTCATTATTCTCTTTGAAAAAAAATGAATATGAAACATAATTTTGTTAAATTAATGATATATTGATTTCAATAGTACTTTATAGTACTATAATTTGTTATAAGCATTGTAGTAATTTATAGTACTATAATTTGTAAGCATTGTAGTAATACAAATTTTTAAATTTTACTTTTCAATGAATAACTGAAATAGTCATTATTCTATTCTCTTTAGTTGTTAAGGGGTTAAACTTTCTTATTTACTTACAATTGGTTCAACTTTCAGTTTTTAATTATGCATCATTAATGCACTTTGACTACTTTTTATTTTATAAGCCATAAAAAATTTTAATAATTTAAAGAACTCTGTAACCTTACAAAGCCCTATTTATATTTGTAATATAGATTTACGATGTAATCTTTTAGCATGAAAAAGTTTAAGATTACTGACCAAGTATAATTCAGTTTTTGCATGATTATTAGAAATTATTATGGTATGATATTTACTTGAACTGGTTTATTTTGGGTTTGGGATTTTATTTAAGTTTGCTAATTCCATTGTTTATTTGAAAATTTATTTTCCTCTGTTGCATATTAAAAATTATCATATTATTTGAAAAAGTTTATTTTAGTTCGTTATTATTGAATAATTCAGTTGAATAAATCTATTAAAGGAAAATAAAATTTCAATATTGCTTTTGTTTTTTGTCTAAATGTTTAAATTTAAATAAATTTGTAACAACTGTTTTTCTCCAGGTTTGCATCTCGTACGCGAATGAAAGTTGGCAGAGCGTTTAGTTTTAATAAAACTCCAAGCAAATTAAAAAGAGCCATGTCAACAATGATGTCACCATTTGGATCAACCAACAGTCTTACTCCAGCGAGTCAACAACTTGCACAGATGCGCCTTGCTAGTTGTAACAATATTAATGTTAGTTGACAATTTATTATCGCATTTTTTTTTTATTATATGCTTATGCTGTTCTTGTTCTATTTCTCCTTATTTACTTTCATTTCACGACAGGAGTTTGTTATCTTTCTCATATTAATCAAAATGAATTTAATATTAATATTAATATTAATTTTAATATTAATATTAATTTTAATCAAATTTTTATTTTTATATATAATGTTCAATTTTGAATTGCAATTCTTATTTATCTTGCTTTTATAAAAATTTTCTTAATGGCATAATTGTAAAACCATTTCGCTGCTTATATTTTCTTCTTGTATACATTTCTATAACAAAATTATATGAACATTTGGTATTATAACATTGAAACAAATTATTTCATTTTTTTTATCTTAAGGCATCTTGCAGATATTATAGCTAAGGAGATATTATATTACTCTATTCATTTGTTTATTATTATGTCCTTTTCGTTATATTTGTTTTAATACAATTTTTTCTTATGTTGATATAATATTAGTGGATAAATTTTTGTTCTCTATCACGTAAGTATACTGTAATGCATTTATCTTATTGAATATTCGCTAAATAATGTAATATTGCAGTGCCTATTAGTATTTGCTATAGAATGTACAGAAAATACTAATAATTTAATGTCTCCTCTCGTGAAAGGGAGTAGAGAGGAGGGTTAGTAGAATTCTACTTTCAATAGATAAAATTCCTTTTAGGAATGTGACGCCACACAGTGTTTCGACTGGATCAAAATACTTCGCGTCATAAATTAGAAACTTAATTTTATGCTATTCACGATTAAGGCGATTCTCTTAACACGGATTCTGCAAAGGCTAAAGATTTATATTTTTATTACGTTAACTTTGCTCTAGAAGAATTTTGTATCAGTTGGGATTTTGTTTTCCTTTTCTTTTTGTTATTATTTACAAATATTTCATATACAGATTAACAAGGCTGGATTCCTTTTTGTTATTTTCTTCTCTTTTTTTTTGTAAAATATATTGGCAATGAGAAAAAAAGTATGAAGTATTTTTTCTTCATAATACCTATGAACTTGCATGATGTAGTATTAGTCATTTTTTATATTATAGTATTCTTTTCTATTAGTTCTGCTTCATTAAATGTTTGAATGTTTAAACTGTTTTGTTTAATCAATGTGATTAATATTGTTTTAATTCCTCTGGTATTGTATATATGTATAGGATAAATTCGTGTATCTTTCCAGGAGCTGGGTAATGGTGGTTCGGGCTCGCCATCTAGAGATGATGTTCTAGTAGCACCTATGTCGGTTCAGCCGACACGAAAGGCCAAATGCAGTTCCCTCAGTATGGCTTCATTGAGAAGGTTGTAATTAGTATAATGGAAATGATGCAATTTTTCTTTTTTGCTATCATTGCATAACCATGTTTGATCAACTTTACCCATTGTTTATGTGCCTTAAACTCATCACTTTATGTTCATCTTGCTATTGAAAAACATTTACATATATATGTAAGACTTTTATACTAATATATCACATATTAGTATATTCATATTTATACTAATATGCGTACGTGCGAAAATATTTAGTTTTTTTATGAATACAAAGACTGGATTGAAATTTCTAATGTTATGTGTTTAGAGTAACTAAATGCAATGCATGTAAATGTGTTGTAAAAATTTTATCGCTTTAGAAAAATTTAAACGGAAATTTATAAGTATTTGTTACAACTTATGTAATGGATTAAAATACTCATGTTGGTTAAAGTGAGCTTACAATAAAATATAGCACAATTTGTACATATTGCAAAAATAGTGCTGTATTTGTAACTATCTTGATATATGTTTTATGCTAGCATCAGTGTTTGTATGTATATACGTTTTTGTAGGAGGAATTTATTTAAAATTCAGTTCCTTGCAGTCTATGTTGTACTAAAAATTCTCAAGGTTTACGGTTTCTAAGGCTGAGATCATGCATAAGTGCCTAATTTTTCTTTAAAGTACTGTCAAAATGATACTAATAATTGTGCCTATTTGGTGCCTGCAACATTGATTAGAAGGTTAACATTTATAATAGCTTGATATTTGTCTTAACTAATGTTATTTAACAAAAAAATTAGACTTTTATACTCCAGAGCAGTCTTGTTTGCTATATTTTCTATCTTTATTATTAGTCATCAAACATTTTTTTCATCATATTTCTTCACCAACTCAGTTAATATTTCTAAAATTTTATTTATTGTCAACTCAATTAGTATTTCTAATATTTCGTTCATTGTTGAATACAATGTGAAATACAAAATTAAAAATATATCTAATTTTCAATTGTAAAGTGAGTTGGTGCATTTATCTAAATTCACGTCATAGATGTTTTCATAATCTTTTTGACGTTATTTTATTTATCCTCCAGAAATTGTTCAGAGGAAGTCATGCAGGACAAATCCGATCTTTGAAGTGCAGGGCATAAATAATATACAGCTATATCATACTTTTTCCTTTGGGATCAGTAAATGATTTCTGCGAAATTGTGAAATATATAAACATTATTGCAAAGATATATCTTTGTAATATAAATATTAATCTTCAAAATTCAAGAAATTGTAAAATGTCCATAGAAAAGTAAATACGAAAAAAATATACTTATAAACTTCACTAAATAATGAATAAAAAATTTGTCATGTGCCAATAGAAGGATTATATAGAATTTTATAAGAAAGATGTATATTATCAATTTTAAGCAATTTTATAACCATATATTAATGATAAACATGATTTAATATCATATTTATCGTTAACTTTTGTGTATCACATTTATATAATTAAAATTTTTGTCTTGCGCCTACGAGTGAAATTAAGATAAAAGGGAAAGAATAATATTTTCAATCGTATAATACAAATTTTATTATTATATATATTTTATTAGAATTGAAAGTACGAATATCAATTTTGTGCCATTTAATTTTATTCTATAAAACATATTTGGAATTTATTTCAATGCCTAAAGATAATTTGTTATTTTGAAAACTAAAGAAATGTAATATCAGTCTATTGAATTAACATTCACGATATATTTTTTCATTACATTTCTTGAATATGAATTGCAATAATGACCATGTTATCTTTAGTTTATTATATAATTTAAATCTTTTTCAAAATTTGTAATTGAATAGGATTACATCATATAATATCATTGAAAACAAAAATAGCAGTAAAATTGTAATGTTTTTATTATTCTCTTTTTAAAAATGTAACTGTATTACAATGAAACTGGAAGGATTATTAAGTAAAAATGTGGTAAAAGAAAAGTAAAAAACGTATATATATATATTTTCTTTCAAAATAATAGATTAGATTACATATATAATATATATACATATATAAAAAGTCATAGTTTATTAGCATTACATTGTTATAGACTTGTTCATTCTTGTAAGATGCTCAACACTCTTAATTTCTTCTCATTTGTAATAAAACTGGAGATCGCTTACTAATGACTTAAAATGATGAAAGGAATTGAGAGTTGTTATTGATCACATATTTTTTATATACCAGTGTTTCTTTAGACAAACATATGATCAGCATGATCAGGAAAAGTTTTTTGGTATATTTATTAGATTATGGATAAGTCTAGATTATGATTTTCTTATGACTTTCTTTTCATCAATTTACGCTTATTATAGTTGCTGATTTTGTCAAATTTATCTTACGACATACAATTAGATTGCAAAATATATTATTTCTCGAATTACATAAATATTTACATTTTTATCAAATATACTAAACAAGTATCAAATATTATTTTAATTGATCGCACATGTGAAATATTCGTACAATTAATTATATATATTTTCAAGTATAACAATCTTCTATTGTGATTTGTATTAAAAACATCTAAAAAAGTCTAATTTTCAAATATCACAAGTGTAATAAAAATAGAAATGATTGGCTAAAACATAAAAAAGTTACGGTCTTTTATATTGCAATCTTTTAAATGTATAGTGGTTATTCTTAAATAGCATATTATAATATTTTTAGTCATATGGTCTATTCATATTATATAAAAAATATTTATAAATATTCCACCTGTGCGTGTAGTTTATTAAATGCATTATAAAATTTGGAAGATATTTACTTTATTGGGTAGTAGAAAAACATTTAATCTTGCCTCGAGTATCTTTTTAATGGATTATAAAAGATTTTTTTTTTTTATTTGTTTAATTATTCAGTTACAAATGAAAGTTGTGGTTAAAATTCGTTTTGTTCATGTATTGCTTCTATTATTTTGAAATAAAATTTAAATTGAAATATCGTTGATCAGGCAAAGAATTAGTAAAACTTATTATTTTTAATACGACACATATTTAAGAAAATAAACGTATTGAAAATAAATGTAAGTGAGGTACAAAATATTTTTGCACAAAAATTATTATTAACAAACAAATACAACAATATTATAATTATGAATCTAAGAATATTGTATTACATTTGTATTACATGTTCATATGCTATGGAACTGAAAAGAAATTTCTTGATGAAGTATAAGCGCCAATTAATATTTTTATCGATATAACAACGAATTGTATTCCCTGCAATTTTTCTTCTCAATATGAACAGTATTTTCTTATTTTTTTTAACGTTCTAATAAAAGAAGAAACAATTTATCAACAATCGTAAAATAAAAATTGATCAACAATATTGTTTAGTTATATGAAAGATTGCAAGGAAAGTGAACAAAAGTCTGTTAATTCGGGACTTGTTTAACAAAGTTCTTGCCATATTAATTCTTGCGCATAATATCTGTCCGAATAACGTGCCTTTGCCTAGAAATGATCGTGAAGTACATCTCCTGATATGTGAGAAAAAGTCCATTAATATTTTTGTAATTATTTGTCTTGCACTCGAAGTGCGTTCTCATAACTAATTATGAATGCTCTGGTAGCACTTCATACAAGTTTTAATTTATATTATATTCTTAAGATTTTAGCATCATTTTGATATCATTACACTCATAAACAAAAGAAAAAAATGTGAAATTGATTAATGCGACGTAAATTTTATGTATAAAAATGATCATGGAATATTTTATTAAAAAAAATTAGGCAATTCTTTCCATTATTCAACATTATATGAAGTTTGTATAGTATAAAGGTCAACATTTGATTGTGATTTGAATGTCAAATTATAGTAGTCTATTCTTTTATAAATTGTTGACATGTCTGCTGAAAGTCTTAATATTTTAAATATTTCGATAATTTATGGTTGTCGAATGATTCCACAAATCATTTTGGATCTAAGTGTATTCTTCGACAAAAATGGAAGAAATTCCGCTCGTTTCGGAGCATTGTAAATATTATTGATAGGTATACTGTGTAAGTGTAGCATAGTGCAGATAATGTTTTTTATTACACGCGTAAGAATATTGTAATACTTGTAATGTTGCGTATAGTCGTTACTATTTATATAATTCTGTAATTGTAATTGATTGTATAAATTTACTCTTTATTATATAAACTGAAAATTAAGATATTTACTTTCTTTCCTTTCCCCAATTTTTTAATTTATTTTTTTATTAACCTATTTATTATTTTATTTATTTTATTTTAACATACACTGTTGGCTACTAGTATTAAGACAATATTTCAAATTATAAAAAATACTTATATTATTGAATCGATAATGTCGCATGTGACATTAAAATGATAACGAGATCACGTGACCTTTAAAATGTCGGATATAAATTCTAGATTTATTTTGTAACTCGATTATGATGAAAATATAAATTATTCATTTTTATTACTAAATTGAAACGGTTTTTTCTTGTTACTTGGAGCGTAAAATCATTTAAATACAAAAAAGCATTGCTGCATTGCCAATTAAATACACTATTACATATCGCAATATTCAATTATAATCGATATCGTTTTCCGCAATTATAATCGATCTATAACATCCGGTTGTAACGTACTTAGAAATATCAGTTCAAGCGGGAAGCAGTCAACAGAATCGTTGTCCAGAAGTTGTCAAAGAGTACAATCAATAGTCACTAGACTTGTTTTGCATTGTCGAATATGTCTACAATTCGGAACAGTGAGTATTATTTAAAAAAATTATACATATATTATTACATACATATATTCAATCAACGTTAGGAGGCGAATATGTATATGTACGTATATTAAAAGTTTCTGGTATAACTGTATTGTATTTCATGTTAAATAAGCATTATCTTTAATTATATTTTATGTTTATCAATTTAATCTATTCTATTATTATCATTATGTATGCATAAATTTACACATTTGATGTGCTTACTGCTGGAAAACATTTTCGTAAGACATTTTGTTTTTTTAGGAAATCAACCGAATCCTTTTTTGCAAATTTCGGCCTCCACTTCAACAAATTAGTTCATGAGGCAAACTGCTGCGCAAATGTTATTCTACTGTCGGTAATTATGGAATTAAGTTGTATTAGCCTATGTAACATTTCTTAACTACATAATGTATACTTTCAAAGTCGTATTTTCACTCACATTGTTCATGCTATCTTTAATTAATGTCTTAACCTTATAAATTAATTTTATAATTAAGTTATTTCTTCTTCTTTGATCATCTGTTTGGTTGTTATATACATGTTTTATAGATAATTCGTTTATGAACTTTCGAAACATTTGACTGTAATTTTTGTTTCATTTTGTATAATTTGTTCTATTTAGATTTATTTAAAAATTTGGGTTCTTCTTTTTACAGATTATTGATTGCTTATGAGGAAAAGTTCGAAACATTCAGCGATGAAATTCAAAAGACGCCAAGGTAATTGATGGTACATAAATCGCATAGCTTTTCATACAAATATGGTTACGTTTGATTTATTCGAATTAAAACAAACGTATTCATATATTTTTTTACTAGATAACTGATAATGTTTATTTAGTATTCAATCGATAATCATTCTTAACAAATGATTCATGATATTAACATAATTAATATTTAATATAACAAAATTATAAGTAATTCTGCAATTTGTTAGGAAATTAAAAATGAAAACAGACAAGATTGAAAAAATCACTTGCTTTCAATTTATTTCTAATATTTTGTTTGAACTATTATTAATTTTTGTTGAAACAAAATTTTGAAGTTTTGAACAGGAATAGAAATGTCTAACGTAGTTTAGTGATTATTGAATTCTAAATTTTTATATTTCAAGTTTTAATTGCTAGACTTTATTAGCATCTCAAGTTTGAAAAGAATTTTATTTTTCACTATTTTAAATTTTTCAAACAATCAATTTTTAAGAACAAATTAATAATATTTCATATATTTTTTTAAAAGCTTTTTGCATATTTTTTGATATCTGGGGAAGATATAATATAATATAATATAACATGAACTGTGCTCCAAAATTAAACAAATAAGAACCTTTGTATATTCTAATTAATTTTATTCTTCGTATTTTATTTTAATTATTACTAATTGAAAAATAAAATTTGATTTAAAACTTTTATTTTTGAATTGAATGTCATTATTAAAATTTTACGTTGATAAAATCAACCTTTCATTATTGAAACAAACTATTAAAATAAAATATTATTTCAGCCATCACTTCTTCCATGGAATTCAATGGTTTCTATTTGATGACGGACTTTACAATCAACTTCTGGTTCACAATTACATCAATGACAACATTCTTCGCATTTAATCGTGAGTCGCATGCATTTTTCCTCTGGTCATTCAATCATGTCGTAGGATGAAAGGTCCGAATCGACACGGGTGACCGGTTGTATGTAGAATTTTTAGAATGTTATGTAGAATTTTTAACGAGCATAGTGACTACGAGTATTTATATCCTTGTCTGTGTTTTATTTATTAGTTCAGGATAGGTTTTCTTGCACATTGCGTTGTTAAATGTTAATAATAACACATCAATAATTAATCTCAGTGACGATATTATGCTATTACGATAAATAATACTTATTTTTATCTGATGTTTTATGACAATGCGATTATTATTTGATTTCCACATTCAGTATAAATTTAATAGAATGTGAAACATAAACTTTGATATACATATGAAAGTATTATAATTCAATTTTATTTGTCATTCATGGATGTATCAAAGTGCAAGAAAACATTTCGTGATAGGAAGATTTCAGAATCAAAGTAATGCATGTTGTTTTTGTGCGTTCAAAGATGTGCTTTGATGAAGAAATCACCTGAGGATATTTCTATCAATATTTCAATTATCGTTAGAGTCCATTCTTACACATTGTAATTTATTTTTAAAACTCTGTTATTCAAGTGTAGAATTTCAGTTACAATGAAATAAAATCAGTAGAAGTTGAAATAAAATTAGAAAATGCAACACTAGCCCGTTAGATGCGAAATGGATATGTTAATCATATTGTTAGCTCAGGATTTTCAGGATAGCCAGAATCTCACTCACATGCCCAGGTGCTATTTGGATGAGAAAAGGTAATGGACGTGATGACTATAGTTTATAAATTTAATAATTTCCCAGCGATTGACGATTCGTTAGTGTATCCGTACACGTATTTTTGTATTTTCTACATTGTGTTGAAGAAGGAAGAAGCTATAAACCGAAGAGGCTCGGCAAGTTGCCACTCAAGTGGGCTACTACTAATGGCTTCCCATCCTCTGGATGAGAAATCCATTCAGAGCATGGAAGGTTATTCTTGTTACTATACTTGCTTGTCACTGTGCTCGCTTTTAGCAGTATGTAGTATGTAGTACAATACTAGTATTCTATTTTTTTGATCCAATATTAAACATTGAGGAAATCAGATTTTTTATTGATATTTCGAGAAATTACATTTGGTATTAGAGTTTCAGTTTAAATTAGTTTTCAATTAGTTTGACAAATAAAATCCATTACAAGAATTTTGACTTAATATCGCTGGTATACGCTTATTTGATTTGTGAGAAACCAAAAAATAACGAATTCTTTAACAATATTACTAACGTATTCGTGCTACCAATGTTTCACCAGAGAAAAACATAAAATTGAAAATTACTGCAGCTGTTAATAATAACTTATGTCGTTAATTGAAGTTGAAACTGTTTGGAACTCTGTGACGGGAAATAAAAGTGACGTATCATGTAAAAAGTTTAAGAAGGTGACGCTTTCCTGGATAAAATGTTAGCTAAGTTGAAGAGACGAGTTAAAGTGCTTATGAACGAAAGAAGACGTAGAAGAAGCGTAACGCAAATAAAGAAGCTCGAGTAGTAGAGCTTTTTTAAACAAGACTCTACATATACAAAACGACGTCTTGTGAACGAGACGCGATTTGTACAGCTCATATATACATCAGTATCAAAAATTCTACGTCCTTTTACATAAATAAGCGTATACCTATGGATATATATATGCATATTTTTTTTTTAATTTAGAATGTGCATTATTTATGGTTTTTTTTTCACGATAATATATTGCGTTCGTGCTTTTTGCACTATTTACCGTAAAAGAAAGTTTCTCGAAAATATAAAAATAAGAACAAAACGTTGCTATTATTATTTTGATAATTTTAATCACAAGATCTTTTATTAATAAGTGTTTCGTCATTAAAATAATATAAATAATTGATTATAATTATTACAATAGCTTGTTACAAAAACAAGATAGAAAACATTAATAATAGAAATAATAAGTGTATTTAATTACGGAAGACAATTATTAAATATATTATCATTATTATTATTGATGATTTGATGTAATACTTATTTTGGGTAATTACTCGGGTAATTTTTATGTTAAAATATTATGTGAAGAGATTGTATAGATATACATACATACATCATGCAGCAGGAATACTCACTTGTGAAGGAAAAATTTTTATTTCAATAGAAGAAACAGATTTAAAGTTTATATTAAAGTTAATTTTACTTCATATTTTTGAATTTTTATCACATCTTGCTCTACGAAAGTATAAAACTAATGAAACCTTTAAAAGAAAATTTTTCTATCGTGTAATAAAAATTGCAATATTTAATTAATTATTCATATTTATTATTTTTATAAATTTATCAGTCAAAGTAATTTTAATGTACAACGAGTAGATAAATTATGAAATTAAATAAATAAAAACTATGAATATTATGAAAATTCAGATAGACTACTTTATTTTATTTAACAAGATAGAATAATCAAATCTAGAAAGTAATACAACTTATCTTTGAGATTCGTTCAAAATTTATTTTTAAAGTACTTATAATTTTAAGTTATACAATAATTAGTTTTCAGAAAAGGTTCCGGTTTCATTAGTTAGATGATATGTATTGTAATGAATTTTAAATGTAATTCTTTTATGAGCCACTCTTTTATTATCAATTCTGTCATCATTAATAATTTAGATCCTTGATAGGATGTTCAAGTCCGCCAATACTATTCTATTTATGAAAGTTAAAATCTTAGAGACAAGGAAGAAATTGTTTCAATGTTTTCCTGAAACTTCACTTGCAAATCTGTCTCCTTTACAATATTTTTTACAAGTTTACATAATTTCCCTACA